GGTTCAGCAATTTCAGCATTAATGGCAAACTCTTAGCTCAGATGGAGATCAATGATTCAACCAGGGTAAATCTAAATGCAAACAAACATTTGTTGTGTCTCGCCTTTATTTATTAAAATAAATTGAATTTATTTGCTGTGTGGTTTAAAGGAAATCACCGCCTCCTGGTTAAGTCATATTCAAACACAGATCCTCTTGTCTCCATCTCCAAATGCAAAAATGCACTTGAGCTTTTCCAGAATAAATAAGGACAAATTGTTTATGATCCCACACGATTCCTGGAATTTTTGTTTGGAATTAAATTTCAGTGGGAAGTATGTCTTTAAAACAAAATGCTCTGAAAAGAGTCCATTCTTCATTTATTAGCCAAGATGTGAATTTGTGCCTTCAGGGCTCTGCTCTGTCACTAGTGCTTGAAGCAGCATTAGGAATGCAGATCACTGCTCTGCTGTAGGTGTTAGTGATGGCATCGCGTATTGTAGGACAAACATCTAAATGTTATGTGCTGAACTCAGGTCTTGGCAGATTCAGATAAAGAGCTTTTTGGTTACATATCATGTTTAAAACCACACAATTGTTTTATTAAAAAACTGGAGGTCCAAATGTGTTGGTTTATTTTTTGATTGGGAAGAAAGAAGAATGGGAGCCTTTTTCTTCAAATGTAAAGTGGGCAGAGCAAAAGAAATGCTTATAGTTTTATTATATTTTTGTAATATTGACCTGTTTCCATAAAAGCTAACTGTGGGCTTGGGTTTTGTCTTTTTCTCCTGAAGGCCATCCTCCTGAGCAGCGATGGGCAGAACCTGGTGACAGGAGGAGACAACGGTGTAGTGGAAGTATGGCAGGCCTGTGACTTCAAGCAGCTCTATATTTACCCTGGCTGTGATGCTGGAATAAGAGCTATGGATCTGTCTCATGATCAGAGGTGAGTTTGTCATTAATATTTGTATGTAAGTGGTAAAGTTGCACAAAGTATACCTAGAATCCTAGAACAGTTTGTGTTGGAAGGGACCTTTAAAGGTCATCTTGTCCAACCGCCCTGCAATGAGCAGAGAAACCTTCAACTAGATCAGGTTGCGCAGAGCCCCGTCCAACCTGACCTTGAATGTTTTCAGGCATGAGGCATCTACCACCTCTCTGGGCAACCTGTGCCAGTGTTTCACCACCCTCATAATAAATAATTTCTTCCTTATATCTAGTCTAAATCTACCCTCTTTTAGTTTAAAGCGATTACCCTTTGTCCTATTGCAACAAGCCCTGCTAAAATGTTTGTCCCCATCTTTCTTATAAGCCCCCTTTAAGTATTCAAAGGCCGCAATAAGGTCTCCCTGGAGCTTTCTCTTATCCAGGCTGAACAACCTCAACCCTCTCAGACTGTCCTCATAGGAGAGGTGCTCCATCCCTCTGATCATTTTTTGTAAACCTCCTGTGGAAGTGCTCCAACAGGTCCATGCCTTTCTTGTGCAGAGGGCTCCAGAGCTGGACGCAGTACTCCAGGTGGAGTCTCACGAGAGCAGAGTAGAGGGGCAGAATCACTTCCCTCGACCTGCTGGCCATGCTTCTTTCAATGCAGCTCAGGATACGGTTGGCTTTCTGGGCTGTGAGCGCACACTGTTGGCTCATGTCCAGCTTTTCATCCACCAGTACCCCTGAGCCCTTCTCTGCAGGGCTGTTCTCAATCCCTTCATCCCCCAGCCTGTATTGATACTGGGGATTGCCTTGATCCATGTGCAGGACCCTGTACTTGGCCTTTTTGAACCTCATGAGGTTCACACAGGCCCACTTCTTCGGCCTATCCAGGTCCCTCTGAGTGAGTACCTCTGCATGAACTTTAAGGTATGAATTTATGGTATGCAGTCATTAACAGGAGATAGTACAAAAACATTACCCCAGTTGTTATCTTGTTGCTTTATCTGACTCAGCATCTCTGAATTTTTTCTGAGTCTCATAGCACAAGCGGTTAACATGTGAAGTCAGTAAGCCAGAGTCAGCTAGCAAAATATGAGTAAAATTACATTAACTTAAGACCATAGGAACAGTCAGACTAGATCAGAGTGCAGTAGTACCTATTAACCAATGTCTTAAAACCACTTACAAAAGTTTATGGTACATTTTTGATTTTCAGCTCGTAGAGCTTGAGAACTTCTTGGGCTTGCATCTAGACTATAATGTGTGATATTGTCAGTGGATCTCTCCACCAGGAGTGAGTGTACTCCTTTCCTTTGGCCTTCTTGAGCAATGGAGATGCAGTGTACAAGCCTAGATTTTTGCAGTCACTGCTGTGGCACTAAAATGCATGCTGTAAATGTAAAAGATAATGAACCCAGTCCCTCAGTCTTCTGTTGTGATGTGATTATAATGTAAGCCTATATGTTGCATTTATGCAGGGTTATGAGTGGGTTTGCTGTTTACATCTTGCATCAGTCCTGTATTTCTTATTAATATACAAACTCATGACATGCAAAGAACACATAGGTTATTAGAAAAATCATACAGCATTCATTTCAGTTTATTTTTCTTACGCTTTTCAGCATTCCTATGCTATGCACCCATTTTGTAAAGCAACAAAACCACCTATAAACAAAATACATACCTAATTTACTCACGTATGAGTGGGTGACTTGAAACAAGTTTTTTGTCCCAAACTTAATCTAATTGAAACTAACTTACTGGAAGAGGCCTATTTGCTTCTGGAGCTTTGCCAGTGTGTGCATACAGTACTGTGCTCTGTTCGAAGAGATTTATCTACACTGCAGAAAATTTCAGCTAGCCTATTTTCTCTATCCCTTATTGTAATACCGGGCTGGGAAGCTCCAGCTGTGCAAAGTGCTTTAAGTACCCGCTTAGCTTTAGTCACATAACTAAGCGGAGAACGGCTTTTGTATGGTTTGATAGAAGCGGTGATAGATATCTAATCCAATTTTAAAACTCAGCTACCAGAATTAGAGGATACGCGATAACTGGAAAATCACCTCAACTATTGCCAGCAGAACAACGTAAATAGGGGCTGCATTTCAATGTTTTAGGACTACCAAGGTGTGATCTACTTATGATTAAGGGATCAGTTCAGTTGTCTTTGCAGAGGCATCTCATTCTGTCTGGGAGGCCCCAAAATATCCAGCTGATCCCAGGTGCAGCCCCAAGTGCAGAGCGCTCCACAGGTCCTGTGTCCCAACTGCCATCCAGCACAGAGGTGTCAGCCATCCTAAGGCACCTCCAGTGGCACGAGGTGCCCAGAATTAGGCAGCTGGGTTCTATACATCTGAATGAAGGTGTTTCAGCATAGGTGTCTTCATGTGAGCTACAGGAATAAGCTCCCGTAATAACTGTGGCGATTTACTTGCTACAACTTGTGGAGTCTAGAGGACAGTTAAGCTCAGCCCAAAGTACATGCCCGATGACCTGTAGAGGGTCAGTCGGGCTGCATTAAGGGTACTGATTAGGGCCTAATTCAGTTGCCTACCTAATTTGGTTGCCTACCCATAGCCATTTAGTACTGTTTGAGATATCTCGGATGTCTGAGGTACGTACCTGGGGCAGCACATGACAAAGGACCTAGTGAAGACCCACACGCTTCTGGAGAGGCAGCTGGAGGCAAGGCAGGATATGTGAGAGCATGTCAAATGGCATGATGCTTTTACCTATGTGAAGGTGACTGAATAGACCTCTGGATCTCCCTTGACCATAATAGGAACATGGAAATTTGGCTCGTATGTCAACAGCTAAGTGTATCATCTCCATCACAAACTGAATCCCACCCATGAGCTTAATTCTCAGACAGAGTTGCAAAACATGCCTCGTTCTTTTATCTTTTTTAGTGTTTATGGTAAACCATTTATTGAGAAGGTAAAAGAGGATTAGCAGAACCATCTTTTCTATCTTTTTCAGAACTCTGATTACTGGCATGGCTTCTGGCAGCATCGTAGCTTTTAATATAGATTTTAACCGGTGGCATTATGAACATCAGAACAGATACTGAAGCGGAATGAAGAACTGAAAGCCCAGGTAAAGCTGAGAGCACAAGTGCTGCAGTGAAAGGTGTAGTCTCTGGTGGAAAACCACGTCTGCATTGACCTCCGTTGTACATTCCATTACACCCAGCAATAGCTGTACATTGTAGTCAGCAACCATTTTACTTTGTGTGTTTTTTCACAACTGAACACCAGCTGCTGAAAAGCAAGCTTGTATCATGTAAATTATATGAATTAGGAGATGTTTTGGTAATTATTTCATATATCTTTGTTTATTGAGAAAAGGTAGTAGGATGCGCCACAAGAGACTTTTGAAAATTCTGGGGAACCTTGTGTCCAGTTATTTCAATGTTTAGGCTTTGAACCTAACATGCATCCCATCTCCAGCCTCTTTTCAAGCTGAGATAAAAAAAAAATACGTTTGATACTTTGTACATCAGATGCACATCTTAACTTTAAAGGGATACTTTTGTAAAAGTAAAACCTTGTATAAAGAACAAAACTGTTTCTTAATTTTATTGTGGAGTTACAACTTGCATGTACTTTAAACCTGATGTCTTGAAGGAACAGGTGCATTCACACAAATAAAACTGGAGATCTGCCTAAGGGTACAGCTTGTGTTAAAGGGTTGAACTGGGGCGCAAACAGTAATTTTGACATTTCCACCAACACGTTTTTCACTTTTTGAATCTAAACTTTACCCCTCTTAAGTGGAGTTCTGCTCATGAAGCGTTTGGATAAAAAGCCATCATTTGCCATATTTATACTTTATACAATAGAAATTAAATTCCTCCTTTTTAAATTCAGACTAGACAGAAAGGGAGCAGAGAGGGAAGTTCAGTTTAATGCTTTGTAGTGCTTAATGACTCCCAATACAGGCAAAGTGCTATACTTCTGGATTACTAACATTTGGCACACCAATCATGGGCAAGATTTTTTCCCTTATTTTTCCTCTGAGCAGCTTGGTTTATTTGACAGCCTTAGCTTCATTGTAAAGGTGACTGAGATTATTCTTTTCGGTTCTTCTAAAATCTCACCTGAAGCCACTCAGACTAAGGCACTTCATGTTTTACAATACTGTAATGATAACTATCGGAATAATTTTCTGCACATTGTACTGATCAAATTACACACCCAGGGGTATATACACTTTAATTCATGTTTCTTCTTTGTATATTTGGTGACTGTATTGTCATAGATGTACATATTGTGTCGGTAGGGCTATGAGGCATGTAACAGGAATGTAATTTTCTCAGAATTTACACTCACTTGCAGTCATTTATTTAAAAAGATAATGGATTCTTTGTATTGGCACTTTGCACCAGAAACATATCATTATTTATTGATGTGATTACTTATTTGTTATCCACCTTGTATTAGTAAGTTTAGCACTGAATTTCCTTCTTCATTGTTGTTTGTATTTATAAGATTCCGAAATCATGGGGATCAGTGTAATGATTAAGTTATTCATCACCCGTCTGTAAGCAATATCTTGAGTTTGTAGCTTAGAATTGGGAGACTATTGAACATCTGGAAGACAAGTTCATTTCATCTTGAGATCATGGTGAAATATTTTGGATATATAAATTCCTTAAGCTATTGTAACCATGTTTTATTGCAAAGATGTAAAATATGCCAGATGTGTGTGAGTTGGAAATCAAAAAGAAAAATAAAATATGCAAAGAATTCAGTGATTGTTTTTCATTTCAATGAACTTTTCATCAAAACATTCACATTATCATTAGGAGAAATTATTTTCAAAAATCCTCTCTTATATGCTATGTATAGGCTAAAAATTACGCGTGCCTGGGTGGTTGTATTTCCTGGGGTCTCAGGAAATAAAACAGAGGTTACAGAGTGTGTTTTGCAGCTCTTTTGATTGTCAGTACATGAAGAGAAGCTACTAAAGATACTTTGATCGGCAGAAGTGAAAAATCAAAGCCTTTAAGGGATATTTAGGATCCTTGTGAACAGGCAATAATCTTGTATAATAGACCTCGCAGAAAGCAAAGGTCTGATGACCTTATCCATTTTGGGTATCTCTCAGTATCTGATAAGATGGAATGAATTTCGTCTTATTTTGGGCATTGAAAGTTAAATATCTACACTCCCTGAATAACAGAACAAAACAGGTGGGATAAATTGCCTTTTGGAAATGCTGAGGTCCCTACAAAGATTACAGCTACTAAGCGGAGGCAGATAGTTATCCAAATGTCTGATGTCTAATTTAAGGTAGCAATGTCAAGCAAAATACTTTCTTCATAACTAGAAAACTTCTGATCGATTGACTAAAAAGCAGAATAACAGCCAACACTTCAATTTGTTGCCCCACTCATTGTCTTTCCGTTTAGAAGGTTTATTCTTTAAACAATTATCAAAATGAACAAAAGCTAATATTTGAGAACCTTATTAGAATACAGTACACATTTTAGCAGATACGTATTTATATCAATCAGCTTTTGAAGTGGATAATGTAACTTGGTTGTTTTGGGCATGGAGGAGACATTGAGGGGGACGTGAGAGGATTGGTATGTAAAGAGTGGTATGTGAATCAGTTTATTGATATGTCACAAGCTGCATTCCATTATTGTACAAGTATCACTCCTAATTTTATATTTTATTCAACAAATCAATTTTAAAAAGTGTACCATTGCAGTTAAAACAAAAATTAATATTACTATTATTTAATTAATACTATTGTTTGTGTGAAGTATCTCAGCATTATGTGAAGTACAGTTTAGTCACAAATTAGAAGTTTTTGTGCCCAAGCAAACTTTCCTATGAGAAATTGGCTGTGAGTTACAAAAAGAAAAAAAATAAATTACTGTATTGCATTCATAGGTAGGGTACCCAAACAAGTCAGAATCATAATAATAATAATAGTGGTGGTGGTGGTGGTAGTAGTAGTAATAATAATAATAATAATTATAATAATAATAATAATAATAATGTGCCATCTCCATTATGGTTTAAGTTATAAAACTGGAATTTCCACAAAGGCACAGGACAGGAGAGTGTATTAACAGGCTGGTATAGTCACATAGACCGGCTTGATATAGTTTTTTGTGGTGAAACACCACTGTTGCCTTTTACTCTCTATTTAATTTCTATTTTTTGAGAAAAAAAATTGTTATGATTGTGGCAAGATATGTAAATTCTTTTGTTGTTTCATAGATAATAGATTGTTTCTATTGATTTATGTTAATTACATTAGTATACATCTATCTGTTGCAGATTCTCTTAATGTAAAAAGACAGAGTTCCAGTTTATTTCACAAGACTTTTCCAAATCTTCAGCTGCCCCGTTTCTGTCACACGGTAAAGCTGGGCTGACTCACCTTTTTTCTCTATAGAAATGAGAGCTACTGGTTCCAGGGAGTCTCTAAGAGCCGCCTGTGGAAGATGAAGTAGCTTTGACCAAACTGGTTAAATGTGACCAATCTCTCAACTAAGGGAGATGCAGCTTTAAGGATACAAATGTGCAGCTAAAATATACCTACAATGAAAATAATGCACAGTTATTGGCTGTGTTCCTACCAGTTAGTCCTAGGTTGAGAACTGGACTACAAGCCAATGCCATACCAGGAGGATGATGCAACAGCTATGAGGCTTGTTCCTTGTCCAGATCCTACCACTGTTGAAGAGGATGCTGCTTTCTCTACAAGAGCAACAATAAAAGAAAGGCTCCTGCATTTTACCCCAAGGAAAGACTAGTTAGGCTCAATTTACTGGAAGGGCCTCAGATAAATAATGATTATGTTGATAGCGAATCTCACGGGTTGTGCTTGTAGAGCTAAAAAAGCTGCCTGTGAACAACAGTTGTGGTGAAGGCTTGTTATGATATAGTGCATCAACCATGCAGACAAGCAAGCAGGATGTTTGAAGCAAGCCTCGTGCTGCCAGGGATAAAAGTGTTTGAAGCAGACACAGGGAGCAAAGGGCTGACTTCTGATAATGGCAAGACAACCACCTCCTGATACAAGACGTCTAGTACGTATAAATATTTCATTTGGAGACTTCTAGCTGGAGTTTATGCTCACATTTTCCAAGGGTTTAATTGTGGACTGGTTTTATTTAGGCTTTCGCGCGTGTGTGTGTGTTACTTGCAAACACTGGACTAAAACTTAAACTGCTATTTAAAGAAGGAAAAAAGTGCTGGAAATTTGTATGTCTATGCAATGCAGTACAGTTTATAGACTCTCAAATCCCGGTGATTAGTTTTGCTACATCTACAGTTAAGTTTCAAGATCTGCAATTGACAAGAAAAAAAAGTTTGGAGATTGCTTTCTTGTAAAATTTATAAGCTGTGGCCATATAATTAGCTTACAGAGGGATTTACGTAGATGAAAATCTGCCAAACAGCTGACTCAGTTTATGGGTCCCTCTATGGTGACATCATGCCTAAACAGCACTAGAGCTCTGCATCATTAGTTAGAAGTAAGTCCTCTTCAGTTGCGCCCCATTTGCACAAAGAAGGACCTGGGTAACTAACATGGGTACCTACCTGCAAAATTCAGAGCCTGCAGGGCTTTTTGTTCATGAAAGGATTGGCATAAGGGCTCTGTGTGCCCAAGGGTGCCACAATGCCAAGCTACCTTCAGCCCAGCGTTCCTAACATCAAGCAGAGGATATGCTTTTATGTACAAAACTAGATAGGAAAAAAAAACAAACCCTCCTCTGGTGCCAAAAGATTACAGACAGCTAAAAGCTATCAGCACCAGTGGATATGGCTTAGAAGTTTCATGTCTCTTTATACTTTGAAGAGACTTCATCTTGGCAGGATGCTGCAATGACCAAGCCCTGTGGCAAAGCTAATCCTAGTATCATAGCTGTGCAAATCTAAGAATGATGCACTTAGTTTCCCTCACTGTGTAGTAGAACTAGTGATTGCCAGAAAAGGCAGCAGAACAATTGAAAGTAGACTTTCAGTCTTGCTGTACAGCTATACATATAAATCCAGTGCCCATGGGTGTTCAGATACATTAGTGTGTACGGAGCTATCAAACAGGAAATTAAGTAGTGCCTGGTGGCCAGTGTCCCTGTATGCACATCTCTTCAAATAATAGTAACAGAAAAAAGTCTGCTGCAGTAGGAAGGCAGCAGGACTCTGGGAAGGGGTCAGGGGCTCGGTACAGAGGTACAGATTTCCTCTACAACAAAACACTTGGTCTGTTTCTTCCAAATAGGCCTGAACAGGTTGTCCCAGCAATGTCCGTCCCTCTCTCTTTCCTCTACTAAATCGTTCTGTCCACCCATTTTAACTTGCCATGAAGAGCAGGCTGTAAGTTGGGTTTTCTCTCTCCTGCAGCCCTGTGCCTCACGATATCCATCTTGTTTCCTCACTCCCTAACTGTCAGGGAGAACTAAATCAGATTCACCACAAAGCACATACACATGTGAGGCTCCAGAAGGCCCATACAAATCTCTTCACCAAGCTCCTTACTGACCCAGTCTGAGTTGCAGGAGGTAAAAACCTGAAATGAAAAGGGTGTCCCATCTTTCTTCTGCCTATTCGAGCAGAACCGGTGGTCATGAGGTAGTATTATTCTCCTAGTAATTAACACAGGTCAGGACCTTTCTCTGACCCAAAAGCAAGTGGCATGACAGCCTCTAGCCGTGCTGCCAGACTCCCTGGGACCAGCCCTTAACCCATCCTAGCCCCTGCACGCTGCAGGGCGTTGTGTAGAGGGTGATAGGTTAAAGGCGTGCCAGTTACACCGTGCAGATGAGCACAGCACAGTGCCCAAGCCTCCACCTTTCATTGCTCGAGTTGCCGGATGTAGCCAAGGCACCAACAAGGAGTCACTTGGGCTCTGTGATCATCAGCCTATCGACCATATCCCGCGGTCATCACAGATGGGGCTTCGGACTCAGTAATAACTCCCAGCCACAAGTTTATGCAAAATACTGCTCTATCGTGCTTAAGCATGACGCCACAAGACTACAGCTTTTGGATCACTGACTACAGCTATTGCAATAACTGACATAAAAGGTGTTTAGCTCGCTAAGACCTAGGTGCTTTTAGGCATGCTCAGACTCACGTTCCCCTTGCATGCTGACTTGTGTATACCTTCACATGAGGGAACATCATGAAAGAACGTTGACTGGAAAGAGCTTCTGCTTGCTCTGTAGCCCTCAAGATGTATGTGGTCAGGGGTCCTCCTCGGCCATTCCTCCATGAAGCTCATTGACACCAGCTTCAGATCCTTGAAACTGGGTACCTTGGAAAGAGGTAATAAGCTACCATCACTATTGCTGTGGCTTCCTCTGTTGTCAAAGCCTCACTGCAGAGGCTTATTCCCTAACTTGGTAAGTCCCTCAATGGTAAGAAGTTATCTTGTGGGAGATAAGCCTCCTAACCAGACACTTACTGCAGCACTTCTGAATGTCAGTTGGGAAGGATTCAGCTGGGACATAAAACTCCAGACATGTAATGAATTAATATAGATCCTGTGCAGAAGCTCACTACAGATAGCGTACTCATGCACACCTCATCCCTTGTAGTCTGGAATTAGTGTCCCAAGGGGTGCTGATCCTTCTTCATTGATGGATGACCTGGCCAGTACACTAGTCAGGAATACGTTCTGAGGTTCATGTCTGTCCATAATGAATGTGATGAGGCGACACATATACAACTATAGAGCTCAAGGGTTATGGTTTTCTGCAAAACACAATCTGTTAATTG